TTGATTACTTTTTAATACAGCGTAAAAGCGATATACTAAAACTCCCCTAATGGCGTCTGTTTCTGTTCTGTTCTATTCTTTTTTTTTTTTTTTTTTCTGGAGTACTTTAGTATTTTCCCCCTTACGTCTTTCAGTAATTTTTTTTTTCTGTCGAAAACTTTTTTTTTTATTATTGAGTGGTAGGAATGTGTCTCGTTGTGACCTTTCCTCAAAGGATCTGTCTCGCTCTCCGCGTCCATTGTGTTTTTCCGTCGCCGTGCTACATTCGACAGTCTTTCGGCGACTTCGGAAGCTACGGTCCGAAGTACTGGCTGAGATTCGTGCTGCGCAGTTAGAAAACGTGTACTTTACTTGAAGTACATTCTCTGAGTATGGACTTGTACTTTTTTCTGGTGGTTTAAAAAGTTCCACCCCCCCCCCCCCCCCCAAAAAAAAAAAAAAAAAAAATCGTTTTTACTTTTATTTTTGTTTTTAATTGCAAAAAATAAACTGCGCATCACCGAACACTCATTCTCCGCCAAAAGTAGCCCCAGCACCCCGAACCAGGTGCCGAATATAACCGATTATCTCAAATTTCCCGCCGGAAATTTCACAAAAGCTGAAAAATCAGAAAAGGTTATGCACGGCACGGCTGCGCATAACCTCTCATTTACCAACTGAACCAACTAGCCCAAATTTCTACTTTGCTCTCATTTACTTTGTACTTCACGTACTTTTTAGACGTACTTTGCCCAACACTGGCATTGCGATATGCCTTGTGTCTACATTCGCGCCAGGCGATCCTGCCGCAGTTCATCGAATAAGCAGGTGCAAGGCACCAAATACAGTTGCGGACAGAAGAAGCCAGAACGGGAGGGACACTGTGTCCGCGTCAGCCTCGCTTGTTTGGTTGCACCACACCTGTTAGCGGTACGAGACAGATGTTCATCGGCCCAAGGGCTCCTTTAAAATTCAATTCAATGAAATTCAATTCGATTCAAACTTTCGTAGTAAGTAGACGCGAATGCCATGCTGCAGCGAAAGCTATTGGAGCCAATCCGACCCCGTTGCGAGTGCCACGTGACCTGATGCGTTCACAGGGCTGGATTGGCTATAGGAAGGCTGCTAACGTCAGGTTCCATCGTGAGCTGAAATGGGGCATGGATCAATCAAACCCTTTATCCTTTTTTTTGTGTGTGTGTGTATGTGTGTGTGAATTGACGTATGGAAGATTTTCCAGTTAAAACACCGGAAAATCTCCCCAACGCTTTTGCTGGCCTATGAGAGATGAGTGGGTTGAAATCCGTTTTTGCTTATGGGGAGCGCAAGCTCGTTTGCTTCTTGCACACGGAGTGCGATTACGTACGAACGCCAAGCTCTTAGTGGCCGACATAAGCCAATCAGAACTCTGCGTGGTTCTGACGTCACCGCTACCCCTGCGCAAGAAGCAGGCGACTTCCTCTTCGCATATGCCACGTCTATAATTCGGACCGCCAGCGCTACATCTGGGCGGAGAATGAGCGTTCGGCGACGCGCCGGAGGAGAAACAAACGTTTTGTGCGATCAAACTGCTGCCCCAACAGCGGCCCGAATTTCACTAAGGCGAGGGGAAACTTCGGTCGGTCGCGTCGAAGAGAGTGCTTTTGACGTCCCGATATTCCCGATTATTATGGAGTGTATACACCGAGACAGTGTTTATACAAACAAGCCCGCTTTGCCCACGCCAGGTGTGGTGGGCACTGCGCGCTCGCAGAAAC